CCACTCTTCATGGGTATATTATAAATGTGAAGGTCTCTTGATTAAGTCTGCTCAGGGGATGGCGAAGACCTTCCAACAACACTGGGAAAACAGTCATATAAAGCAATGTGTTACAGATGCAGTCTCTAGATAATTTTACAGACTTCTCTCCTGGGTAATCATTGGTGTCCACAAAATAAACAATGTAAAGGTGTAAAGGACACACTTTTATTTGCCCTATACCCTAAAACTGCTCAAACTTCGAAAAGGATCTCCTTGTTGCCATAAATCACCCTGATAAGATTGGCATGGAAGTCATTTCCTTGACTTGTTTTTAAGAAAATGCTTTTTAAACACAATGTAATACCATAAAGAGAAGAAAATCAACAAGAAACTCTTAACTGTGTACTCCTGATTGCATTTAGTCTCTTAATAGGAGCTAGTATCTTAAGTATGTTAACTACTGTAACTAGCAAAATAATTTAAAGAAGATATAAATCAAGAAATCTATTTTCAAATAAAGGAAAAGTCACATAAAAAGTATGATGGTGCCCACATCCAATGAAAACAGAATAAAAACAATATCCAGACGTTCTCAAGAATGCCCATGATGATGTCATATCTTGGAATATTAGAAAGATATTTACAACTAGTCAAATCTAGTTGCACATATTTCCTCAATTCAATATTTAAAAGTTGATGTTAACAGTATGAGAATCTTGACATGTGAAATATTGACTCCTTCTAGTAAAAATCATGAAAAAAAACCATGCAATGTGTTATTTTTAAGATAGGAAATAGTAATGTATTTCTAAACTACAAAGAAATGCAAAAATGTTGAGTCTTTAAAGGACAGAGAAAATGTTCTTTCCAAGACTCAATTCCATTAGCTGGATGCTGTACTTATACCTAAAAGGATATATTTTACTTGTGCATAGTAACACTCTGGCAGGATTGGGGTCACATTTCTTATTTTATATATGACTGTAAAGGTTGTTCAGCCCCAAAACAGAATACCATATGCAGCTTTTAAACCCCTAATTCTACCCATAAGGCAAAGTGAGAACAAAGCATAATGATTAAGTTTATTGAAATGTTCATATGTTCACCTGAATGTTAAAATGCAATCTTTAATATATGTGTTTAAAACATAATTTAAGAATTCAAAATATATTCAATCCCAAAATTGAAGGGTAGGACTTCTGTACTAACAGTCACATCATAGTTCTAAGAAACAGAAAGACACAACTAGTCCTTTTAATCCCAATTATCCAAAGCAAAAGATACTTATCTGTGATGAAATAAACTCACAATAATTTAAAAAAAGAAAAATCTGAACATCTTAAGAGTTAATCACATTAAATGTAAACCGAGGGGTATTTTTGCCATTGCATGCAAATTAAATATACCTCAGAAGAATGTGGGTCACACAGACATTCACGTAAATTCAGTCAAAACATGCTAAAAGTAATTACGAATTTAAAGAATTCTCTTACGTTGTTCATCATTAATTCATGGCCATTGTTAAAAAAATAAAGCTGTCAAAGAAGGAGCAACAAAGCATTTGATAGTACTGCATCTTAACAAAGCAGATTCTTACATAAAACGTATGAACTCTTATAAAATGCATAAAATATAACCATAAAAATTCTAAGTATGATTTTGAAATGCTCTGCTTAATTAAAACATGTATCATTGGGCTGGGGATTTAGCTCAGTGGTTTTGCTGCCTGCCTCAGAAGTGCAAGGTCCCAAGTTCAATCCCTGGTACCAAAAAAAAAACATGTATCACCAACATGGATGTTATGCTAACACAGAGCAGTCTACTCAGCTGAAGAGACATTCATTCACACTTCTTAAATATGCATTATTAACCATAGTCTCATTTGTTGAAAGTGTAAGATCTAATTTGATTTTCACTCTGGAGTTCCTAAAAAATATTTAATCATTTGTGTTATGATAACTCCTACCATTTTAAAATTATATAACAGATTACCTACACAGAAACACACACACATTAATTAAGCAATGCATACACTGGGAATGTCCTTTGTGCAAACAAACAGCACATACTGGCCATCTTGCACAACTCTAAAATATTACCTGTTGATGCTCCTTTTTCTAAGGGAATAATTAATAAAAACTCCTAATCTGTTGAAGTTACATCTTAAAATGATATGACATATTTACAGATTGTCACCTAAGAAATCTCTTCTTTTTCCTTTCCATCAAATATTTTTTGGTTCACCACAGCTGCCATCTCATTTATGTAATGCAATTACACTATATTTTAATAAATAACAAAATTACATCACAAATTTCAGTCCACCACTGGAAAAATCACAATATTATAAAGAGATAAGAAAATTCATATTTTAAATAAACGATGGAATGATATTTTCAAAATAAACACTGAGCTAGCACTTGGGGGGCTGAGGCAGGAGGATCGCTGTGAGTTTGAGGCCAGCCTTGGCTACACAGAGAGTTCAAGTCCAGCCTGCACTACAAAGTAGGACCCTGTCTCTAAGAAAAACAAAACAAAAATCCAAAAGGCCCAAAAACAAAATAAACACTGAGAAAAGTTTCTTTTATTTTTTTGCATTCAAAATTGTTTAGATTCAGGCTAAAGGGATAGACTTGAAAACCACACAGCTCTAATTCAATTGATATGTTTTAAAACTATGTTCCTAAAATGAAAGTTAAATACATTTCCCATGAAAACTTTAATATAGAAACTATTAAACAATTCCAGCTACAATTGAGAATTTCTTAATAAAAATATGGCAACTATAAAACCAAGCATCTTATCAGACAATATAATTACTTCGTACTGTCATTCAATATAGCAGTAGTATACTAGCCAAAATCAAACTCCCTTTGGATATTATATAGGAATATAAAAATCAAAACAAAAAATGTACCCCCCCAAAAAAAGCCTAGATTCACTTTGGATAATAATCAGAACTCTAAGTTGTTTTGCATATTTGAATTACTTTACTTGTTTTACCTTCCAGGTGTTAATGTTAAGTAAGTTTTATCATCAAAGCTCCAGAAAAAAAGACTAAGATTAGCTTGCCACTTCCATACAAGCTGAAGCCTTACAGTCCTGTGCCTAAGAATCTGGATATATTTACTTCACCCAGCCACCCATTCCCTGACATGCCCATGCCTCTCTGCCTGAGAGACCTTGTGGGCAACACGAAGCAGGTTTCCATCTCATGTTAATCTCTGTGGTATTCCATGAAGCAGGTAACAGCCTTTCTCATAATCATTCATATTTACTCTGCCCACTGTAAGCATCAAGTTTTTTTAATACAAAAAATAGCTGATTTTATATTAAGTAAAAACAAATTACTTTGAAGATACAATGAAAGACCTTAATTATCAGAAAAAACCTAAATTGTTTATTCACATCAATTCAACACATTTTATTAAGACTCTTGGTATGTAAAAGAAGTAACATATTACATAGCATTTTGCTTATGAAGAAGGAAAAACTTAACTGAAATTAATGAGCGAATTCCTCCCTTATCAAATTATTCTTATTTCATGGATTTTAAATTGGAGTATTAATATTTAATAAAGAAATCTTAGATAATTTCAATTATTGAGTATGGTGAGCTGAAGGGTAGCTTTGAAGATAGGTCCATGTATTAATCCACGAAAGCTGTAATATCACCTTGGCAAAATGTATATAATAAAATGTACATTATAAAATATATAAAATATGGAAAATATATAAATATAACATGGCAAAAGATCTGATTAAGTTAAAGACCTTGAGGAGTTTATTCTAGATTATGTAGGCAGATTTTAAATGTCCTCATTGTCATCTTTATAAGAGAAACAGAAGCAGTTTTAAAAAACACATAAATAAGGTAATAAAAACACAGAACCGAAAGAGATGCAACCACAAGCCAACGAATGGCGACAGCCTTGTGAAAGTGGAAAAGCCAAGGAAAGTTTCTACCCAGAGCCTCTGGAGGGATCCTGGCCACACTTTGATTTCAAACATTTAGCCTCCTGATCTGAACTGTGAGAAAATAATTCACCACTGTTTTAAAACAATTTAGCAGAGCAGCCAAGGAAAACTAATACACTCAGGAAAGGACTTTACTTATTAATGTAACTAATTAATATTTAGTAATACACTACTAAAAGAGAAATCCTTAAAGCATACACACTTTGTAATAAAAGACTAACACAAAATTACTGTACAAATAAAATATACCAAGACATAAGATATAATTACACAGTGAGCTTAATCCTTAAAGTTGATACTTTGAAGTAACAAGATTTTACAAGCAATACAAATAGATTATCACTGAGTGACTGTATAGGAGAACCTTACAAACAAAATTTTATCTAATTTCTAAATATAGAGCTACAATAATAAAGTATGGTAGGCAAAGATAGGAAAATTATTAAATTAAGCTTAATTTGAACAAGACTATCAAGTAACCGAAGTGAAAAACAGCTGCAAAATATCTCCAAGTAGATGTAGCTTCAGAAAGGATACATCACTAAGTATAAAGAGCCCAATTATATGCTGTGCTTGAGTAGGCAGAATTACTCAAAAACTGATAAAAGGACTAGTGTGACATCCAGAATTATAAATTATATAGGCCCTAATACTTGCAAGGGGCCATTTAAAAAAAAAAATTACACCTTTATAATCTGGTGACCACTTAGTCATTTTAAGACTTACATAAGAAAATAAAAATAATCAGCTACTATTCTCTCTATATCTTCATCTTCAAAACAGGAAGAACCTACCTCAGAGCATCAATAGTGTTCCCTTCATAATGTATGTGAAGATGAAAGAAGATTACAGAGTGCTGGCCCACAATTAGGGTCACAGCTTCTTTCCATAAACTAGTTGACTGAGAACTAACTATACTCACTTTCCAAATAAAAAATTCAGGGAAGTTACTAGATTAAGAAAAAGGCCTGAAATAGCAAAACATTTTAAACAGAATGCTGCTTCTCCCTTTTGTTGAGATCAGAAGTCCCGGCACTTACCACATCACTAGCGCTAGAGAACTCATTATTAACCAGACTTTCAAGAGCCATCCATCGAACTGGCCTGTTTTCATTGTCCCCCAGACAGTGATAGTCCATGGGGAACAAGTCTCTGGAGAGGGCATTGTCTGTGATCTTAACTTGAAGTGTGTCATCAATGCTGAAAAGTAAAAACATGAACATCAAATGCCATCAGGGCGTGAAGAGGTATAGATCACCTTTACTATTAAGTACAACACAAGTTCCAGTGTGACTGCTAGAGAGAACCCCAAATCCAGGAAGCACTACCCATCAAGTAACAGTGATGAGCTCATGGCACCTACACACAGTTTCTAGCAGCCAGGTCTTTGTGGATGACTTCCCTTCTTGCCAGGTAGCTCATTCCACAGGCAATCTGAATAGCCATATGTACCAGGTCTTGCTGAGAGATTGCCTGCAGAAACAGAAAAATGACAAGGTTTCAGATAACACAAAACTTGCGATGTAGCTACTTATTTTATTCCACAATCCTACTTCATTGAAAAATACTTCTTTACACATATATAGTTTTTAAAAGCTATTTCTTAACCAAGAATATGTTCCCACAGTTCCCTATTTTATGCTTATATCAACTACAGTAATTTTGTACAATGATTTTTTATTTGACCCTCTCCTCTTATCTATTACATGTATCTCCCTGACTTCTAACATACAGAGTAGCTACTCAGTAAGTAGGTGTTCAATGAATGCTAAATTCTCAAGGTAATGTTTCGAATTTTTAAGTTATCTTTTGTGAAAAAACAATAGTTTTATTAGATTATCCCCTAAGTAATCATTTTCAAACTAATACTAGTCTACAGCTCTCTCTCTATTGATACCTCCTCTAGCTGTATGCCAGTATTGTGGCCTGAGGCATGAAGTTCTTAGGTGACACTGATGGGCCATCACCTCTAACCAATTGTCGGAGCTTTAATCCTGTCAATTTACAAACATCACACAGATTAAGCCACACATTCAATGCAGCCTTTGAACTCATGTTCTCACAGCAACTTCAGTAAGTCAGTCCATTATTAGAATTCTTAAAACCAAATAAAAGGAAAAAAAAACCCAACCAAATAAAAGGAGCCTCCAAAATCCAACAGACAGCAGAACCCAGTAGGCTTTACTACCATTACCCTCCTAAAATGTTTGGAACTTGATCAATGCTTCACAGTGAAGTGCAGAAAGAAACACTTGGACAACTGTCATCTCACAGCCACACATACCAGGAATATACCTAATTGTGTCCCATAATCCAGACTTCCAGTCATCACCCGTTTTTAGTACAATATGGACCAAATGGCTCTGTAAAATTTGTTTCCATTCCTAAAGGGAGATCTAGGATAAGTGCTTTCAAAGAGTTATCAGGAAAATGACTGAGACAAGTGTAGAAAATGTAAGGTAATTATGAACAAACACACAACAAAAATATAAGGAAAAACTTTAGCATTAGCCAAGTATAAGCCTCAAGATAGAAATCATAAGCCATCTTCATTTTCTTCTAAATCAACAAGTAAAGTTCTTCTGATTCATTTTGAGTTTCTCTGTGCAGGTCGTTAAACAGTTTATACATAAGAAACTACCATAAATTACTGGTAAGTAATTGCTTATTTGGGCAAAATTTTCTCACCTGTGGGTTATTGGCCTCTACTAATTTGCATTGCCGTAAAAACAATTTAAGATTCCCCCAATTCATGTAAGGCAGCATCACCATGGGCTTTTCTCCTTCTTCTATACACACGTGAGTAATAGGAAGAAGATTTCTATTAAAAAAAAAGGTAAGAAATTGGAAGAAAGACAAATGGAACCTAAAACCTTAGGAACTTATTATCTTATTTAAAAAGTAATAAAGATGAATTAAAACAAAATTCAAAATATAATTAGAAACATTAAAAATGTAAAATTATACCCTGTCCTGTATATTGGATTCTCTAAAGACACACTCCACCATACTAAATCTTTACTCCAAAGTGTAATCAAAGACACGACCATGAGTACAGTATAATATCCCATGTAGTCCATAATGCCGAAAGCCATGTTTAAAAAAAAAGCAACAGTTCAGAAGGTGGACAAGAATATGATAGCCTTAAGAAGCTGAAACTGCCACAAAAACTGAGAAATTTTTAGCTGATCAAATGAAAATTAGAATTAAATTTCTGACAACTAGATTTATCATTTATTATCTGTGTGACTTGACTCTCTGTCAGCCTTGGTTTTCATACTTATAACCCACCAACCATTTAATGCTTTGTGTTCTGTGCCATATATAAAAACATTTAATAAATATTTGATAAATACAAACAACAATAGCCTTAAAAACATTTCCATCCTTAGTAAATTCTGCTTCTAAGAATGTATGTTTAAAAAGGAGAAGTAGTCAAGTGTAGTGGTGTACACCAGTAATCTCAGCACTCAGGAAGCTGAGGCAGGAGAATTGCCACAAGTTCAAGGCCAGTCTGGACTACATAGGTAGTGAGTGCCAGCCTGAATTACGTGAGACTCTGCCTCAGAAAAAAACATTTAATTAAATAAAAATAAAAATATCAAACATAAAAAGTTACATGAACATGGATAGTTAATATGATAACAGGAAAAAGTTGCTGACTTGAATGCCCAAAAGAAATCAAAGAACAGGATATTACATAACAATTAAATGCTCACAGAGATATTTATAAGAATAAGAGTAAAAGCTTATAAGAAAGCCAGATATAAAATTCACATATTTGCAGGATAATTACAAGTTTGGAGAAAAAATAAAACTGCAGAAATATAGAATTAAGAGTTGTCTTTGACTTGTGTAACTATAGATACATTAATTTCTACTTTGTTTTTTCTCTTTCCTAAAAATTGTCTCAACTGACCATGTATCACTTTTAAAACCAGTCAGGAAGTTGTGGCATGATCACCACTGCACACGTGGCAAAGCTGTGGGTTCTGCTCATACTTTTTAAGAGTTACTAACTGGAAAAGCACTGACCCTGAGGAGCTTGGAAAATGAGGACTCAAAGATCATTAGACCTGCATGAGGGAACTTCTTTGAGGGCTTCTGCTTACACTTCAGCTGAAGAGTGGGAGTGGTCACTGTCCAACATTACTGGCAAAGAAACACATAACAGACAGCTTATACGAAGGACAAAGACCAAGTACATGGAGAAAAGAAAGTCAGATCTCCACCTGAATCCAAAACCTTTGTGTTTTCCCCTGTACCACAGGACATTTCCTCCTAGGAAGAACAGAGGAATGTAAGAAAAATTAGAGATTCATTTTTGCCAACTTCCATGAACACCAAAATGACCAGGTTTACATGCAGAACCAGTTAACTGCAGTATACAAGGATTTCAGAATGGATATGATGAGATGCCCCATCTCTTTAACTTCCAAAGATTTGTCTCTCTTCCTTTCTTCATAATTAAAATTTATTTAGGAGTTAACAGCACTTCATCCTGACACAACAAATACAGCAGATGAGGCCAAATCTTTTATTCTACCTTCAGAGGATTAAAAACCCTCTGAGAGAGTAACAATTTCATGAAAATGTTTCACCACACAAATATCTACTCATTTTCCTGAGGGCCCTCACAAAGAACTTCAAGACATTCAACAAAACAACTGCCCATCAGTGGGATCTTTGGCAAATAGAGGAGTTAACCACAAGAAGAAATAGCTGGAGTATTTTAATATGAGGTACTTCTGAGGTAATTAAAACAGACTGTTACTTTTTATTTATATAGGTGTTTCAACCTATGATAAAAATTATTTTCACAGGTCACTTCTGGGAAGATGGCAGAGTGGTGAGTAGCAGAGAAGAGCTTCTCCGAGATTTGGTGTCCTTACACTGGAATACAGCAGCACAAGGAGGAGAAGGAGGAGGGAAGTGGGTCCCTGGAACCCAAGAAGGATCTGATATGATATTGAATTGAAGTCTACAGGGAGAGTGAAGAGATAGACTTTAATGAAGAGAAGGGAGGTACCAAGCAGTGTTCTCTCCTGAGGCTGGACTCTCCCTGAGGGAATAGCGGGCCAAAACTGCAGACACACAGTGACTACTTATGACCCCAGAGGCCTCCACAGAGAAACACACCAGTGGACGGACCGGACTGCAGCAGCTATCCAGAAACAGACCTCACCCAAGAGAGGGTGATTGGCTGGTAGCCATCTTGGAGAGGGGCCAACTGAGCTTGGAACTCAGAAAAACTTCAGGCAGACTCCACCTACTGGCTCCTGGTGCCTTGGTATGGGATCAGAGTTCAAGCCAGCAGGAGACACATAGACTGTTGTAGGCTCAAAGAATAGGGTTCCGGCCTCATAGCCAGAAACTGGCCTGAACTTCAGAGGAACTAAAGGGGCAGGTTGGCTGGGATTATCCACTACCCCACTGTGAAGCTGCATCTAGCTTGCTGGGATTAATCAATTTGGCTCTGGACTCTGTTTGCCCACACTGCCTAACAGTGACAGCAGAGACACACCTTGAACTGAACATTTTTGGGTTATCTTTTTTCTTTCTGTTTTTCCTCTTTTCTAGTTCTTGTTTTTAGGGGTTTTTTTTTTCTTGATTGTTTGAACACAGTCTCTAGTTTTTTGCCTTTCTGTTCTGGTTTTTATTTTTTCCTTTTCCACTTCCCACCTGTCTTCATCACCAGTTTCCCAAAGTTTGTCCTCCATCCTTGGTTCTGATCACTTCCTCTTCTTTTATTTATTTATTTATTTTATCTCCTAACCTGTTTTAAATCTTCTCCCCAAGGGTAAAAAAGCCATATTAAGGCCCACAATTTGTCATTTACTAGGCTGTATTTGATGCTATTGTTATTGTTGATTATGTTACTTTAGCCAAGGTGACATAATTGTGCTAATCAGTTGTTCCTCCTGGTATACCAAGACTGAGATTTGTCTTTAAAAAAACCCTACAGGCCTGTGCCAAAGAACTGGCAGCTGGGCCAAGTAGGCAAAAACTTCTCCCCACCAATAAATTGAAGAGGTAGGATCTTGCAACAGACTCAAAACCCAAAACCCAGCTACACCTGGAAGACACTTCTGAGAAGTAGTTATTTCCTAAGGTTTCTGAATACTGGCAATAAAGCTATTTACAAGTATCAACTCAGGAATCAAATTTCAAAACCAAAACCAAAACCAAGAAGACACTTTAAGATGCAACCCCACAGACTTTCAGCTCACCAAAGGCAAACCCTGGGGGCAATGAAATGGAACAATCTGGGGCCAGGGATTTAGCTCAGTGGTTTCTCTGCCTGCTGCACAAGCGCAAGGACCCAAGTTCGATCCCTGGTACCAAAAAGAAAAAAGAAATGGAACAATCTGAAAGCCACCCACTTGGACTCTCTAAAGAGGCAAAAGCAGAAGTAACAAAGCAGATGAATGAGGCTCTAGAAAAAACTCAAAGCAGAAACAATTTCCTAGATAACTATAGAGATGGTGACCAGAATAAAAGATACAGATAAAAAACTAGAGGAGCTCAGGAACATGATGGAAGTCATGAATGCCCAGAATAGGAAAGAAATGGAATCCATGAAACAGATTCAAATAGATATCCACATTAAAAACTCCACTCAAAGTATATGCAACAGAATGAGCCAATGTGAGGACAAAATACCGGATATAGAAGACAGGATTGCAGTTAGCGATCAGGAAAAGAGAGATTTGTTAAAAATAGCAAGAGACCATGAGAAATCAATCCAGAAGCTGCAAGATGATGCAAAGAATAATGTAAGATTGATTAGAGTCAATGAAAACGCAGGAGATAGCTCAAATGACATAAAAAACTTGTTCTCAGAAGAGAAGTAATGGCAGAAAACTTCATAAACAGGGAAAAAGAATTTGACATAGAGATAAGTAAGGCATATAGCTCTCCAATTAGCCATGACAAAAACAAACTTCCTCAAGGCATATAATAGTCAAGATTTCAGAAATTCAACACAAGGACAGAATATTAAAAGGTGTTAGAGAAAAACAAACAAATCACCTACAAAAGAAAGCCCAACACAATCACAGCAGACTTCTGAACACAAACTCTCAAGTCAAGGAGAGCTTGGAGTAAAGTATTTCACGCCCTAAAGGAAAAAACCTCCAACCCAGATTGATGTACCTTGCCAAACTATCTTTCAAAATTGATGGAGAAATAAGATACTTCCACAACAAAAAACACTTGAATAAACTCATGAACACCAAATCAGCACTCCAAAGTGTTCTGAAAGAGATTCTAGAAAGAGACAATAAGGATTACAACTCCATGAATGCCAACAGAATGAACCCACCAGGCAAGAAATTAAACAGAAAAGAAGAGAAGGAAGGCCAACAGAAGGAAAATAACATGACAGTGATAAGGTAATATATATCAGTTATAACCATCAATGTTAATGTTCTCAATTCATCAATCAAAAGAAACAGACTGGCAGAATGAATGAAGAAGTAAGATCCAACAATATGCTGCATACAAGAAACACATTTAATTGAAAAAGAAATTCACAGACTGAAAGTCAAGGGATGGAAAACTGTATTCCATGTGACAGGAAAACAGAAAAAAGCAAGGGTAGCTATTCTATTTGCAGACAAAGTGGCTTTCAAGTCAAGACAGATTAAAAGAGACAAAAAAGGTCACTACATCTTGGTAAAGGAAACAATCCTAAATATATATGCACCAAATAGCAATGCACCTGACCATAAAAAACAAATATTAATGACATGAAAGATCATACAATCACTAATACTATTATGGGGGGGGGGACTCAATACCCCACTGTCACAAACAGAT